TTACCTGATCCTCCCTGTAACCCCAGGATAACCTAGTTTTAAGACCCGACCACCTTTCATATGTGACTTTGCAGCTAGGGGGTATCCTTCTCTTAGGACTCCCCCCAACCCTTTGAAACCAGAAATGTTTATTTTTAGGAGGAAAATCTTAATTAAGGACCCCCATCTTCTCTTCCCCCCACTGTAAAGAATCCCCATGAATCATAAGAGGGTCTCCAGACTATTGTTCATTACCATCTTCAAGGTTTTCAAGTTGATGTACTCTGCATCCCTCTACTTTTGACTTGAATTGTGTGGTTGTTATCATCGGGACCTAACTAGATCTTAGATCTGCATTGCATTGGTAGATCTTTTCTTTTTCCTATTGATCATGACTCGTGGAGTAATTTACCTCAATTCCAATTTTCCTTTGCAGGCAGGGTGCTCTCCAACCACAGAAGTGAGTTATGTGTGTTCAAGTGGTGCATCTTATGAATCTTGTTAAGCTTTGCTGCCTTATAGCCCTACTGATGGAATATTTAATCACAGAAATGAGTTGGCAGATATGATATACAGCGTGGGTGAGCTCTGCAGCCATCTTACTGGCAATTGAGAAACGGATGGATTCGCCATTTGTCAGTCCCATGTTGACAACTGTGTATAACCTTCTGTTATTTATTTTTATTTTGTTTTACTTATGTATGAAGAGTAAAGGTGCTTGCTTTCAATCAACAGTTTCATTGGCTAGCTATCGTGATTTTCCCTAAAAGACACCACGGATTCTTTTAATCTTTTTATGAGATGGCAGTGGAACTTCTCACAATGGTGGGGGAACGGTAAGAACCCCCTTTGAGGTCTCCTTGTTGAGATTCTTAGAGACACTATTTCTAATTACACTAAGTAACTTGAAGCATGCTCCTGGGAATAGATATTTGCAGATACTGAACTTCTTATTTATTGTCTTCAATTAAGAAAAAAAAAACAAACAAACAAACCTGACGTGGAATGGTCCAAGACACTGGCTTTGAGATCTACCTGGACATTTCTTTAATTGACTTATCAATCATTTATCTTGAGAAGAAGTCCCAAGGAGCCTTCCTGAAGATGACTAGATGTAGGCAAAATAATCAATGCTGTGTAGCTTTGTAAGAAAACACCCACTCGTCTTTGGAGAAGATTTACGTGGGTTCATGGGATGTGTTGATTTATGCATATCTGCTTCTGGAGACGGGTGTTGGGTAAGCATCCTTCTGGGTAGGACTCGGTAAGAGTTCAGACAAACCCCCCCGAAATGAAAGGCCTTTCATAACAGCTTTCTAAATGCTTCCCCTGGAACGTGTGCACTAGGGAAAGTGTGCGTCATAATTTATCAAAGCAAATTAATACTGTTCAGCTAGTAATTAAAGATCCTCATTAAGAGGTGCTCCTGCCCTCTCCACCCCCACCTCACGTTAGCAATAAAAATGCACTCAGGGCGTCAAGAGGTTATATACGAAAATCAATAACCTGCCATTTTATAATTAAAGAGAAAATAAATGTTAGGGAAAAGTCCACTAAATTAGGAAAATTACCTTTAGGAGAGATTGGAAATATTGATTTTAATTTACAAAATATGTGAACTTTTCATGCCCTGTTCTGGGAGACAATTGGAGGCTGGGTTGTTAATTCTGCATAAGCTTCAGAAAATCGATAATTATACTATGGGAATATTATGATATTTGTCATTAATACAAAATCTTACATGCAGGAGTGCCTAATAAGCCTGGCTTTCTATCTCAGGCAGATACAGGGCTGGCGTGCTAAATGTCCACAGCAAATCAATGACAAGGTCTTCATTTTAGCTTTGAGGCATGTTTGAAATTGCAAGATAAATCCAGACTATGCTTATAGTTGGGGAAATCCAAGAATCCCCCAACCTCAGTCACGGGCATTCAAATGGATGATATTAGTAATTATACCTCCAAAGCGAAATGAATACGTGCCCCATCTACATTTGCATATATGCACTCCATCCATACAGGGGCCTTATCTTTCCATAAGCTAGCTCAATTCTCAGCGTCTGTGGGTCTTCCAAGTTTTTCAAAGAAATTGTCCTGGAGTGTTGGACTGGCAGCATTTCCCTACATGTCCACATGTCACGAACTCCGTGTACCTACATACACAGGTAATTTCGGCAAAAAGAAAGGCTTCCGATTAGTAAGGGGAGCCCATGTATCGGCAACACTAACAAATGGATTTTCCAAGTAACACTTACTTGTTCATGCCCCATTTCTTTGAAGACTTAAGGTTATTGGAGCATCTCATAGAAATAGTTAAATAGTTATTTAGTTGTCCAGGATCCTTAAAACTGCCCCTGACACAACCCGTTACCACGTCTGAATACGGAGGAGGTGGTGGGGAAGGGGAGGGTGACAGTGTTGGTGGTGGTTGGAAAAATCCAAAATTATTATCTTACTCCTCTTCTTTAATTTGACTGGCTTGGACATAGAGCAGTAGCCCGATCTACCATCATAGGGCACAGTCCATAAGAATTACAACTTCCAATATTCACAAAAAATAAAGAGGCAGCACATAACCCAGTTGTAAAGAACAGAGGCTCTCGATTTCAAAATTGAGCCAGCTTCTCACCCACTTGAAATCTTAGCCCTTCGGTGCTAAGGGACTCTGCCTACCTTAGTTTTCTCATCTGGAAAACTGCCATGAGGATTTAAATACATTAATTTAGGTAAAGTGCTTAGAACCATGCCTGGTCACAGATAATACTCGGTAAATATTAATCTTTATTACAACTTATTCTTTCCCAATAGTGCCATGATCTAACTTTTGCAGCTGGGCTCAAGGCTAATCTGGACGGCTGCTTTAACGTTCTAAGAGTCAGGCTGATTAATTTATTCTCATATATACAAGTCAGTTTGAATGGTTTCTTCTGTCTTACTGTCCTCTCAAACACCCACTGATAGGCATACAGGTTTGAAATCCCACGGAAAGGAGATTCTCTTGGTTGCTTTAGCCAGATGGCCAGCAACTTACTGCTTGGGACCAGAAACAGGTCCTTCCTCTCTCTATCCCAAGTGACACATTTATACCCTACCTCCTCATCAGATGGCTTCTTGCTTCTTGTCCTTGACCCATTACTCTGGGGAGAAACTGGGCACGTAGCCTGGCATGCACACTTGCGGAGAACGTGCTTGCTTGTTTTCCCATCTATCCCGTTCCATTGGGCAGCGCCTGCTGACGCATGGGAGCCGTTGGTTGGCCTCCTCTGTGCCCTTTTGAGAGATGTCCTTTCTTTGCAGCTTTGGACAAGGATGGACCCCAGCAACATCTGTGCCCCTAAACAGAATGCCTCACCCCCGATCCCATAAATTAACTTCCCCCAAATGGACACCAGAGAACAGAAGGACCAGTCCTCTCATGATTAAGAAAAGAATCTCTTAGTTTAGTGGTTTACTCAGAATTTAGCACAGTCAGTTAAATTTCCCCTTATGGTAGAGAGGTGGGACATAAATTTATTTTTATTGGCCTAGCGTTTATGTGGTGCTGGCTGTGTACTAGTTCTTCATATACTAACCCATTTAATTCTAATAAGTACCTGTGAGTTTGTTACTATTATCATCTCCCATTTAACAGATGAAGACACTGAGGCACAGAGAGGTTAAGTAACTTGCCTAGAGTCACACAGCTGGCAAAGTAGGGGGGCCAGGATTTGAACCTGGGCTGTCTGAGTACAGTGTGTATGTTCCTTATTTAGTGCTAAGTGTCCTCTCGTGAGGTGGGTTCCACCATTTAATCATGGAAAGTTTTATAGTGAACACGTTCCTCTCCCAGAAGCATCAACACAGCCAATTCAAGGTCATAGAGTCACCGGAGTTAACCCAGGCTTATGGTAATAATCACATGCGAAGAACAAACATTGCCTGTCTGAAATCCAGAACTTAGCTATCCCATTGGACCTTCCCAGATTTGCCATTTTTTTCTTTGTTGAGTGGGTTACTCTGCTAGAGTAGCCATCCAAGTGTCCTATGTTCCTGTTGGATGCTAGGGTTGATCCATGATTAGGAAAATGACAGATGGCATCCCAGAATGGACTAAGCAGGGGGTAGGACTTACCGTGAAGAGGTCATTAAGTGAGGGAATCTGGAGCAACTGGTCATTTATTTCTCCTTATCAAAGAGCAAGGGCCCCATCAAATAAAAAGTTCTTTTCAATGAACCCATGTGGCAAATCTACTGAAGTTCTAGGATGTTAAAAGCAACCTTGTTAATGAGCAAGGGACTAACGGGCACAAGTGACAGGTCCAGCAGAGCCCAAATCTCCACCACTGGGTGCTGCTCCCAAAATGGGCTGAACAGATTTTCTACATGGATTTCCTGATCAAATGGTAGTTGGTGGGTAGCGGGGAAGGGGCAAGAGGAGAGACCTACCCTGGAAGGCAGAGCAGAGAGAGATGGAATATTGCTAAGGAAAACTGATTAATAGAGAAAGAAAGACTCTTTTTTTTTTTTTTTTTTGCTTTTTGGTTTTTTTGTGTGTTTGTTTTTCTTTTTTTCTCAATTTCTAAAGAAGCCTTCTCTTGGCAATTTCAACTCACTGCCACATTATTGGAATAAGTGAGCCAAGTCTCTGCTTTGCCAGGAAGAAAGAAAGGCAACCCCACATGGAAAAGTGTGGCTAAAACACACATCCAGGCAGATCGAAATAAAATGGGCACGAACAGCTCTACGTTTGTTCAATGTGCCCTTGAACAAAGTCTCGATGTTTTTTTTTGAGGCAAAATCAATGTAAAATGTCATAAGGAGCTCTGTGTGTACTGTGCGGCATAACGCACGTGCACAATGCCCCTTTATTTTTTAAGGGGTTTAAAACTCTTTTGGTTTCGCTTAAAAAAAAAAACCCTTCAGAACTTCTTTAGGAGAGGTATTTACGTGGCTCAGATTATTTTACAAAACCTGCTCTTTACTGGCAGGCAAAACATATTTAGAACAGACAAAGAAGAAGCCATGCAAAGAGGAACTCTTTACCTGCATAGAACTCGGGGCTGTAGACCGCACCCACAACTGGATTCAATTTCCAGCCTTAAAATAAATATACAAAAACATTATTATCACATTTGGTTCAACAACTCATACCATTGCAAGTGAACCACAAATCAAATGGGTTATTTTATTTTTTTTTAATTTTATATTTAGAGGCTCTATAGTTTGGGAATGCATAAAAAAGATTGGAAACCTCTACCTCGAAAATTAGACTTATACTTTTGATTTGCTGCCAGCGCAAGTTAATAGGATGGAAACTACTGACCAGCTACAGGTGAACTTTTTGAAAATGCCGTGGTAATTAATTTTCTCCCACATCAATATTTTCTAGAACCACCATAATAATTTCAATTTTTTTTGTCTTCCTCCATGGATCACTACTAGATAATCCATCATATGTCCCTTCCTGATAAGTTCACAAAAATCTGAAAGCTCACATAAACAGAATTCTTTGTGGCAACATATTCTGATAATTGTCACTCCTAATTATGACCCAGAGAATTCTGAAGTGCTTTTAACATCCCAAAGAAAATGACATTTATCCGCTAGAGATTGAGTGAGGAATACATTTCAGTGCATTCAGGAACCATAAAAATTCTTAATCAATGCATGATATCTAAGGTAACTTTCAAACAACCTGTGTATAAGATTAACAGAAACTTATAATTTTCCCAGTGTTCTGGATGGAACACTTTCTGTAAAATGAATCCTGTCCCCTTAGGAACTTTTACTCAAGAAAAGAGCAAACAAGAATATTTGCAAATGGAGAAGCTCTGCACATTGCATACCCATTGGGCATCATTGAGGGAACAAACAACCTCCAAAGAATGGTCACGTTTCAGGGTTTGGTGATTACTTCCTGCTCCTGCTGGTGAGTTTTACGAAAACATCCATTATATAGAATTTCTGAAAGACCAAGAAGGGTAGGCACGCTGCCTTTTGCAGAAGACCTTGTGTCCTTGGGCTAAAGGTCAAACACCAGAGGTCCTTTAGTATATGAGTCTGAGAAAAAGCAATGGTAAAAGTTGGGATGCCAGAGAAGGTATTTCTGACAAGGAGAGCTCTTCCCAGAAGGAAGAGATATGATATCTTTTCATCTGACCTAAGTGATGCACCTAAGAACAGCCAAGAGGTGGCCACAATCTACTGATCCCCTAAGGAAGACAGAGGCTCAGTATCTCAATAGATAGGACCCTGGAGGAACCAGAGAACTTTCTAGAACTTTCCAAGAATTTTTTGTTTCTAAGAACATTCTTCCAACTTGAATGAGCTAGCTAGTTTACAGCTCCGAGGATGGTCTTAGGAGAGGATTTTTCAAAGTGCAATGCTTTCGTGCCTGGGAGGCTTATTAATGGAAACGTCTGGTCCAATTTTAGATCACCAGAAAGAGACATAAAATTCTGAGATGTGTTGTCCCAACGGTTTCTGAAACTTCACACTGACACCTCCCTCTGTTATATTAACTACATCTTGTCATATAGGAATTGCTATAATGATATAAAAATAAAAATGATCTGGCACATTTCAGAAAATGTGCTTTATGGATGTGGAGAAGGACTTCAGTTTGACCAATTAAAATTCTACTATTTCCTAAAAAAATAAAATACCCAATTTCTGTGATCTGTGGACTAATGTCCACATTTGAAGTCTATGGAATCAAATAGAAAATAGAGCAAACTGTTTGAAAATAAAGCTTTAGGATGATCTGGACATATTTAATGTTCTTCCCTAATCCTCCACAGAAATCTTGAGTTTGTGAACAAAGTATACGAGGACCCATATTAAGTGAATAATTAAGTTATGAATTTATCACTCTTTTTCTTTATTCCTCTGATCCCCATCTTATACTCTGCTCACGTCCCTACCTTCTACTGGTGATGGAGACAGGGTCTTTTTGTCACTATTGAAATAAGATTTTGTTTTTTTATATACATCCTCATTAGCTCCCTTAAATATTGCCTTCTACACACAAGACTGGGACATACAATTTGCTGAATGTGGACCCACTGATTAATTTTGATGGAACTCTCAAAGACTATAAGTTATGCCAATGGTCTCTCAATTTCTCAGCAAAACAGATTTCTCAGAGATATCTAAGACTATCCTAAATCACGTTTCTCTCATTTGCCTTTATTCTCCTCATTTCCTTGAAGCCTTCTACCAAATCTATATCAGTCTTCTATTGATCCATCTATCTGTCCATAGATCTATCCATCTATCATCATTTTTCTCTATCCTCTTTTTCATCTATTCATCTATCTACCTATCTATCAATTGGTTGCTTGATTGTCTCTTGACAAAGTTTACCTGGTGTTATTTAGATCTCCAGTGTCTTCCCAGGGAAGGCCACTTCATGCCCTTATCTATCTATTCACCAACTACCTCCCAGCTTACCATGTCTGTTCATAGAAAACTTTTATTCAATATGTAAAGAATATGCTCCCTCATTAGGAGATACGTGATATCTCATGTCTGCCAGTACTAACTGCGAGAGGTCAATGATAAGATCTCCTTCACAAGAAACCGACTTGGAATCTGTGAGCAGCAAAATGAAATGTCATGGGAACACCACTGCAGGTTTTGCCCTGCTCCCCGTCATTGGTCCTTCTTCCTAACCAGTGCTGCTTCCGATGTATGGAAATCAAAGACGTTTCTGATCCACACCACAGGCATGAAAACCAACTTCTTACCTCCCTTCTTCCCTGCAGTCTGCTTCTCACCAAATCTCCCCACTTCAGCAAAAGGCATCTCTCATCCACTTGGCTCCTCAAAGCAAAATTCTTGATAAATAATTCCTTGATTCTCCCATTACCCTCATACCCTATAGAAAATCCGATTGGTTAGACGTTGAAAGACATTTCCATGCTCTCAACTTCCATTCCTCGCCATTGGCACCATCCCAGGCCAAGACACTTCTATTTCTCACCTGGATGAGACCCAGCAACAATGTCCTAACACACTCCGTCTCTTCCCAATCTTCTTCTCCCTCCTCCCTTTACCCACTCGATTCCTAGTGGTCAAGCCCATTTTAAGTGAGTGGATCAGATACGCCATTCTGCTGCTCAAAATTCAACAGCTTCCTTCTGAACTTAGAACACAAACTCTATCCTTGACCTACAAGCCCACACAACCTAACCTCTGTCCATTTATTTCATAGTATGGTTCCCTTCTCTCCAAAATACGGTAACACTATGCTTTTAAATTTTTTACAAAACCACCCAAGATCATTTGAGATCAATTCTGGATTATATCCACTGCTCCCTGTGCTTGGAGAACTTTCCCCGGCTCCTGACAAAGTTCACTTGATATTATGGAGGTCTCCAGACTCTTCCCAGGGCGGACTACTCAATGCCACTCCTTCCCCTTGAGTTATACCCTGATTCAATTCCCCATTTTGTTTTCTGCATAACTGTTAATACTACTTGGGTTTATCTTTCTTCTTTCTTTCTTATTCTTAATTGTTTTTATAACCATTCCCCTTCATTAAAATTAATGGTAAAGTGAACAAGAGTGCTGTCCAATGTGAATTCCCAGCACCTAGAACTGCATTTGGCAAATAGTCAAGGCTCCATAAATATTTACTTAGTTTTGTGCTAAAGGAACAGAAGTAATAGAGAGCTTTTTCTAATGGACTCATTCCGTTTTGGCTAGGGTTCTGTCTCCTTCCAACCTCCAATGACCTGCTTCCTGATATACATCTAATAAAGAAGGACTCTGTTAGGGGTGACTGTCTTCAAGGCAGAGTAAGGAAGGATCTAGACCCTCAGAATCACCCCTGCTCAGACTTACAGAGCTCATGCAGGCTTACGTAAATGTATGTAAATCACATGCAGATAGCCTCCTAGTCCCTGTGACTCCTTCCAGTACCTGGAAGAGACCCTTAGGATAACCCTGCTGAAGACGGGAGACTGCACTGTCAGGAAGATGGACAAAATGATCCCCGTTTTAAGTTCTCAGGCAGTCTGTGTACATCCTCAGGCCTTGCAAATTCAGAGATTTTGATCAAGGACATTAAACCGAACAATGAGGCTTACAACAAAAGAGAACAGCTGATAAAGCCCACTGCTCCCAGTCTCTCAGGGCTGCCCATACAACAAGGCAATGGAGCAGAGACCAGACATAGGAGCTCTGTAGAGAGACCCCCTCTACGGCTGGGTCTCAAGGGGCTGCATCCAGATTAGCACTCCCCTCCTCAAATTTAGCTTCTCAAAGGTCATCTGCCAGCTTGCTGTAGAAAAACGCTGCCTAAGCTCGCCAGTGTTAACTATGGCTGTATTAGATTTTAAAAGTCAAGTCTGAATGTGCACACAAAAAATCTGCACATGTCTTCTCTAGGGCTTTGTTGGGTTGGATAGCAAAGAAACATATTCAAGAAAGTGCCCTTAAATGCACCACAGGGGTTTCTGGAATCGCATACCAATGCTTTCTAAAGACATCTACTGAAGATGCCAGGCCACGCCCAAAATGAAAAGTTAGTTGCACATGTGTTTGGTTCTCCCACTATGTTTTTTTTCTTTTGCAACATATATTCATGGCCAACATTCAGATTTCATTACAATACAGGATTTCTGGTTTTCTTGAAAGTTCCGTAGAAATAGCCCACTTTAGAGTATGAATCCCACAGAGACCCATTTGCTGGAAGTGACCAGGGATCACACCACTTAGCCCCCAGTAAGCTTCAGACACCCGTGCTCCCTATATGGCTTAGAGGCCAAATGCCAGCAATCTTTGATTATTATCCCGTCCTGCTTTTCCTTCTAATAGAGAAATATTTTGCTTTTCCTTGTATGGAAATGGAAGATAGTTCAAAAATAACGTGAGTTTTTCAAACCCTCTCTGTTTGCTTATCTATTTTACCTGCCTAGCCTCTGCTGGCATCTGAATATTTGATTCTGAAATTAGTATGTCTATCAGGAAATTCAATTTACGATCTCTAGCAAAAATGAAACAAGATGACTACTTATTACTGAGATTACTGTGTAATTAAATTTTTAGGGCATTTGGTAGGCCTGGTCCTAGGCTGAGCACTTAACTCCATAATAAGCACAAATAGCCCAGAGAGTAGGTCCCACTGTAGCTCAGTTTCCACTTAAGAACACTGGTGTGTGGAGGGTTTCCACAACTTGCTATAGTTCAGAAGCCAGTGAAAGGCAGAGCTGATACAAGGTCTACTTCTCTCTCTATAGTCTTGGATTTTTTTTTTTTTTTTTTGGTCCAATTTTTATCCTTCCTAAGCTGTCTGAGGAAAAAAAAAAAAAATCCACATCCAACATCCAGGGAATCCCAGAGAATCTGGTTCGCAACTTGTTTTGCACTGCAAACATCTGATCTGCAGAGAGTACAATGAGCCCCAGCTCTGGTCTGAGGGCTGTTGTCCTGGGGAGGAATCAGCAAGACAGAAGTAGCCCAGCTCCCTGTTTGGGAAGCTCTCTGATTGATAGTGTTTGCAGAACCCTGGATGTCATTCTACAGTCTTCTCTCATATCCAAGCTCAAATGTCCTAGGACATGTAACACCTTGATGATGGTATAACAGAGCCCGCTGGTGTTTAGGATCTGGTCTTACTCATCACCGGAAGCCGTGTGGCTGGTTAAGCTCTTGCCAGGCATGTGACTGAAGGGACGCATGAATGTGACGCTGGCGCTGACAGTGATATTTCACCATGTGAAGATGACCTCAAAATGTGATGGCTCTAGGAAGTTGCATTTGCCGAAGTAGAAGTTGGTAACTGTAACTTTGCTCATTTTGACCAGACTTCATGGGACCTGATTTATCTTCTCTTCCCCACTCCCAGCTTTACTGAGGTATAATTGATAACTAAGATTTGTACATATTTAAAGTGTACAACTTGTTGACTTGATATTACATATACACTGCAAGGTATCAGCACAATCAAACTAACTTACATATTCATCATCTCACATAGTAACTTTCTTTCCCTTCCTCCCTCCTTCCCTCCCTCCCTGCACCCTTCCTTCCTTCCTTCCTTCCTTCCTAACATTTTATTTATTTATTTGACAGAGAGAGACACAGCAAGAGAGGGAACACAAGCAGGGGGGAGTGGGAGAGGGAGAAGCAGGCTCCCCACTGAGGAGGGAGCCCAATGCAGGGCTTGATCCCAGGACCCTGGGATCAAGACCAGAGCCAAAGGCAGGCGCCCAGTGACTGAGCCACCCGGGTGCCTCTTTCTTTCTTCCTTCCTTCCTCCTTTCCCTTCCTTCCCTTCATTTTATTCTTTCTGTGGTGACAATATCCCTTTTAACATAGTCACGCTTGTTAAGGATCTGAGAGGGCCCCATTATCTTCTGTTGTATTGTAGTTGATGGGAAGGGTTACTTGTAGTGATAACACTCACAAATTATGGATTGGAAAGCTTTGAGAACTGCTTTTCTTTGACTACCAAGGGTCTCCACAGTATCTCCTATAGAATCGAGCTGCTTTATGTCACTGGGATTTGTATTTGTTTCTCAAGTCGGTTCAGCTGTAACTGTCCCATACTCAGTCCACATGACAGCATAAGCTCGAGTGCTCCCTTTCAGGTACTGGGATGAGAAACCCACATGACTTATTCTCGGAAACTCAGGATGCATGGCTACCTGGAATGCGATGTGGGATGCTTATGCCTCAAAAAACAGGCATTTGGGGCTGAACATTTAGTAATCCTTTTGTTATTGTGGTGCGTTGCCATTTGTGTGCAGGTCTGTAAGATGACGGAGGGGAAGTGATGGTCTTGCATTCACACAGGCATGACCACAAGGTTTGTTACTCCAGAATAAAAGGGAAAGACTTCACTAATGACTTCATCTCTTCCAGCCTCAGGTTTTGCCTCTTTAAAACAGGGATAAGTATGTCCTCTTTGTAGGACTTCATGTGGGTCCGGAACATTTAAAATGCTTAACATGATGCCACATGGTCATTGTTCCGGGAATGTTGGCTATTAATGGATGGGCTTTGAACTGTGTCCCTCAATTCCACTGGGCTAGTGTTCAACCCTGGGTAGGACATTGATCAATAACTTCCTTTAAAATAAACATATATCCATATGGCTTAGGGAATAATATTTGCCTTCCCTTGCTTCGTTTCCTCACATCAACACACCTGAGCACCTACGCATATGCACGTTAGACCTCTCTTGCACACGTGCGCCCACGCCCAGGGTTCCCACTTCATCATTACAAGAAATGCCCCACAGTGGGGCTGTTGTTATCATGTATTAAGTCTGGCAAGTTGCAGAGCTATCATTTTTACCCAAGTAGAAAGGCTTCATGATGCATAAATCAGAAATCTGTTTCTGGGCATTTAGTCTGTTGTGGAAACTTTCTATACCATTTACGGCCATGTCTCGGGTGGTTGGAGCTGGAAAAATGGGTCAGCAGAATGAACAATTCTGATCTTTCAAGCTGGAGCCCTGTTATATTGAGGGTATATCTCTGTTTAATGGTGCCCCTTTTATAAATAAGAACAGACTGACTTAGCCAAATTGGTAGTCAATGCACAAGGGAAAAAAAAAAAAAAAAGAAAACCCAAACTACTAAATGCTAATACTACGGTTTATAATAATAATAACACAAAATTCAAATGTCAATCAGTATGGAAAGAAGGTAGAACTAAACCCATTAATCGGGATGCCTGCATGGCTCAGTCGGATAAGCCTCTACCTTTAGCTCTGGTCATGATCCCAGGGTCCTGGGATCGAATCCCACATTGGTTGGGCTCCTTGCTCAGCAGGGAGTCTACTTCTCCCTCTGCCTGTCACTGCCCCTGCTTGTGAACACTCTCTTGCTCACACTCTCCCTCAAATAAATAAATAACATCTTAAAAAAAAAGAATAAAACCATATATCCATTTTAGAGAATGTTATGTAATTGCTAAAAAGAATGAGTTTGGTCTCTATGCATTAAAATTGAAGGAACTCCCTATTGATATCTAAAAGCCAATTAAAAATGATGTGTACGCCATAACATCATTTATAGAAAAAGTGTGTACATGACAACATGTATATTACAAATATATACCTATTACATATATATGCATAAAAATGCAAAGTCAAAAAACAGATAATAATCTATAACGGGGTATCCTCTGGGGAGCTAGGGCACTGAGCTGGCAGTGGCATTATTCAAAATATATTTAACCTTTTCATTAATGTTTATTTCTTTTTTTTTTGAATGAATCTATATTTCCATGTTTCACATGTAACTAAAATATTAAAAATGGAAAGTTTCATACATTTTCCTCTACGACAGCAATAAAATTATATCATTTTTGAAAATCTACAAAACAGAGGAAAATGTCTTCCAGTCTTACAGTTCAACTCAACCATTAGCATTTTGATGCAATGCCTTCCATAATTTGGTTGAAATCATGCTATACTTTTCCATTTAAAAATTTTTCATTCATTAGGGGGCTCTGTAGAGTCCTCACCTGGCTCATTTTAATGGATATAGTATCCCACTTAGTGTATATACTTTGATTTACTGCATTAAATTCTTCCCAGCTTTTTGGTGTACCATTAAGTATCGCTGGCCCCCCACACCTTAAGTATCTTATGAGAGATGCATTCTGGGAAGGATTAAAGAATCAAAGTGGTAGAACACTCTCAACTCTTGTTATGTATGTGAATTCTGATCAGGAGGGGTTTTGAGAGGGCTTCTTGGTTAGGAAGGACAGAGATTCCTTGTCCTGAAGGGGTCTGCAGTACGTGACAACATCCTCACCCGGCTCAAAACAGCATTGGGGAACCGGAAGAAAAGCAAAGACTGCACCCACCCAATGGTGGTCCTCAGGAGACACCCTCCAAGCCACTTTGAAACTCTCACAGCTCTAGAGAAGACCCAAGGCCAGAACCAAACTCTGAAGCCCCTCTTCCAGAAATGACTAGGGATGAACAAGGAGGTTGTGGTGGTGGAAAAAAAGGAAACAAACAAAACTTCCATCCTCCCTCAACTTACTATAATAACAGCAAAGTAATTGACCCAAGTGATCCTTGAATGACTGTATTTCACCCCAAATGGGAGTTATTCTGGAGAGATTGGAGGAAGGGCAGGCATGCTTGACCTGAAAACTAAATTTGCCCCAGTTGTGAAAATTATCTTTTTATAAAAATTATTATTTTTATAAAAGTCTAGTTGGCATACAGTATTATATTAGTTTCAGGTGTACGACATGGTGATTTGACATATTCAGGGCTCACCAATAGACTGTTTTCAGTAGTCACTGAAAAATACCGTAATGATTCACATGGTTCACTGTAGCAGGTCAGCAGCAAGGACACGGCAGCCACACCGAGGCTAACAGGGCTTATGGAAACATACACCCTGGTTAAATGATACTTAAGAGATACAGAGATAGGGATGAGCTCTTGTAAAGGACTTACCATTTGTATAAGGGTTGACAGTCTTTTTATTTGTCATTACACGTGCTGTGGCATTATTTACCTATGTACACAGAAAACTCAAATGAGCACAAATTCCAGGGCCAGCCCACAGTTCAATTAGTTGCATGCATTATGACTGTGATTACTTATTAAAAAAAAAATACAATGCATTTTAATTTATAAAAGGCAGTAGGTGCATAACAAAATCATACATTTTTATAATTACATTTACTTCATAACCATTTTAACTTACAAATCATTTCAATAAAGCAATGTCATATCATTTAAAAGTTTAATAAGGAGACAGTAAAAGCAAATTAAAAGGAACTGCATAATTGAAGACTTAAAAGCATGCGTGTACTCCATGGTAACACAGAAACAATAAATATTTTTAAACACAAAATAAAATTCATATGAAGGGACATGCAGTGGAGTAGAAGAGGGGAGAGACAAGGTACAAGGGGACATAAATGTCAAAAAAAAAAAAAAAGGGACAAACAAGATTTAGCCGTGTGCAACACGTTGGGAGGGAAGGACCATTGGGAGAGCAACATCTAGCATTCAACACTTGAAACAAGAGCCTTCGACATCGCAAGAATTAACAAGATCATTCAAGCTTTAAAGTCACAGCTAACGAAAGGATAAAAGAGAGGGTGCATTGTTTAACACAATATGGAGTTAACGATCTGAGTAAGATGTGCACTGTCATGTCTCAATCCAGTCAGTGCCTCCCAGGCTCGCTTCGAACGTACACTCAATTACAGGCGTACCGGTACCCAAAAAAATAGAGCATCAAGAAAACTTAATACGACAAGTCAAAAAAATACCACGTGGTATATATATATGTAGAGAGAGAACCAGCACTAGATACGTGAAGCGGCAGATGGACTTCACCACTTACCATTCACCACCATCGCCAGCATGGGTTTGTATACAGTTACCATGGTTACTGAGAGTTTGGTGAGGGGCCTAAGCGTTATCGTCGAGGGGGGGGCGGGAAAACGAAAGGCAAAATATGCAACATCTTACTCCAAAGACTAAAAAGCATTTTTAACTGGTATTTTTTTTTTTTTTAAGTTTTAACAAATATAACCCTGTGGCCATGTTGAGGGAGATCCAGTGGTAGAAAGAGTAGATTCTGAGTATCCAAATTTTAGCATTTATTTTTATTATTTTTCTTTTTCAGTGAAGAGAGGCCAGATATTTAACAGGAAATCCTGTTTGGTTATTTACTTTATTACCGAAAGAAGGCAAAGGTTCAAACTGGCTTCTTAAATGAAAACAAACAAACAAACAAACAAAAAAAAAAATGAAAGATTCAGTGACAAAGACCTCTCATTTTTTTTTTTTTTAAACAATAAACAGTTTTTCTTCCGAATGCTACTGCTTTTGCCATTTGAGTCAATTTGGACACCACTGTGGATCCCTCGTCAACCCTGCAGTGGAAAGAAAAAGAAAAGGAACAAAGAAGAAGAAAAAGAAAAAAAAAAAAAAGAAAAGAAACTGCTCTGTTTTTTTGTTTTGTTTTGCATACTGTCTCCACTGTTTGGAACCTACTGCACCCGTTGCTCATAAAACACAGAAAATTAAGGAAAAAAAAAATTTTAGAGTAACCTTTCTTTTGTTTCACTTTTGCCATTCACCTTTCATCAGTAATAAGAAGAACATAATAAAGTAAAATTAAAAAAAAAAAGTAAGGCCAGTTTTCCTTTTTATATATAAATATAAATATATATATATATATATAAACAATGAGAAGGGAGTGGGGTCACATACAAGACACGATGATGCATCTGGAACAACGAATGAGCGTGAAGCAGACATTTATAAAGAAGATGTAAAGGAAAATATTTTGAACATGCACCTCGATTTTACGGCCCTCTACCACGGTGCCGTGTAATTTCTCCCTCGCCCTGTCCGCATCGGCACTATTTTCGAAAGTTACGAAACCAAATCCCTGCATGCAGGAGGGAGAAGGGGAAAACAACATGCACATTATTATTCCAGTCAACGACCACTGTGTAACGTTCTCTCGCTTTAATTTCTATTTCTTGTCCTGGCTTCAGTTCTGTAACATGCAAATTAGAGAAATTATAAGAATACAAAGATGTGCAATAAGTAAGCGACAAATGTGAACAAGATTTTTTTTTTCTGTCACCAGTTAGCTGTAACCCCTGAAGAATTCAAAGAATGATACCAAAAGTACCTTTCTAAATGTCACTACAGAAGAAAATAAGTCTAACGGAAAGAAAATGAGATCAAAATAAATTTACAGTGTCTTCACAGAGAAGAAAATGAAATAACAAGGAAAAAAAAGGGAACCACTTTCTTGACATGCAAATTAAGAATAAAATAAAATAAAACGTGTGCACGGAATTCAACAATGAATGCCAAAATCTTCTAACATTGCCTACAGAGTCATGCCGTGTGGTCTTAAGAACATCTCTTCTTCATGCAATTTTAGGGTTATTCAGATTTGTCAATTTTACAGCCTTAACTTCTCAAAAATAAAAATTAGAAGCCTAAAAAAAAAAGGAAAGACCTTTTTCATAATAAATCTTAACCTCTTTGATCTAATAAAATAATCACATGAAATGAATTGAAATAAACATCAACTGATTAATAATGCAAAGAGTTCAAGTTGCCCTTTTTTATATCAATACTTCCCCCGCCCCTCAAAAACATATACGCTTCTGAACTTGTCAACTTTCCAGGCTAACTTCATTAACTGAAAAGGGAAACGTATGCATGTATCGTAACCTTCTAAGACATTATCTTGATATTCACTTGTCAAGTCAACAGTTAGAGCTCAGGTAAGAGACTTATTCGCAGTAACACTCTGGGCGCTACCTCTCCTACTGATAGATAACGGACCCTTTCCTTCGCCACTGGCATATTTTGTTTTAATATTTCAGCCTCAAAAAACAACCCCACTAAACGTCACATTGTCAAAAACCACCTTTTTTCCTTCACTGACACTGTTCCTAAGAAGAGTACAGAGAATATGACACATTATTTTTAAACCCCCTAAAAATATTTGTACATCTTGTTCAGAAATATACACCAACCTTTTGAAACCATTCCAGTGTAAATTTGCCCAGCTCGTTCTGGTGAAACAATGCAATGTGTCAGGACTCCTATTTGCAACGGGGTAAACTTCAGTAAAGGGGCATGTTGGTTTCTAGCTTAGTTGGGACAGTCTGACATTCAGTCTCACTGATAAAAGAGACAGTAATTACAAATAACAAGTAGTCAAGCTACTAATGGTAACCCAACCCCTCGCTACATTGCTGAAGGGATTTCCAAAGTTTGGGGTATTCAGAGAGGTGCTGGCCCAAGGTCTGCCTGAAGAGAGAACTTTCCAAAGTCAACGTGGGCTCATCTATAGGAGATCCCATCCGGGGATGGATCCAAGCTAAGTTAAATGATTATGCTGCAGAATTCTATAGAGAAAAAATAAGCAGCTTTACTTTGGAGGACTGGACTGAGAAGTCTTTGATAATATGACCCACTGTGAGGATCTGAGATGAGGACGGGTCTGGATGATTTGACCAGTGTAAGACTTTATGCTCCATAACAGAAGAACTTTGTCTCGGACATCGCTTGTGGTATGCCCATGTGAGGTGTCCAAGTAGCCCAACTGGTGAGTTGTACAGTAATAGCTCTTTAATGGACTGAAGACAGCATTTGAGGGGTTTGCTCCATGAATGGCACTGACTCTTGGTCAGAGGGTCCCAAACTTGGTTGCCCAGTGAAAGGAAGTGGGGGGCATAGCATATGAACATTAGGATTCCTGGACGCTGCCATGTGTCTACCCAATCAGAATCTCAGAGCGGAGCCCAGACATCTGTCTGCTGAGAAGGCTACAGCGTGCCCCAGCAGCTGTGTTTCCATGGCCTCTCTTATTACCAAGCACCATCAAAGGCAAGTTCCAGTTCATTGTATGAGGTAGACTATTTCATTGCCAATGTCCAATGGGCACCCTATTCAGTGGAGTGAGTTTCGGAGGTGACCATCTGTCTGACGTGGTGATTTGGATCTTGGGCGTATAGCCACCGTCTCCTCAAAATCAAAATCTCTGGCACGCACAGAATCTCATACAACTAACAAATAAAGGAAATAAGGATGCTGGCTGCAACAGGGGCAATTCTCTCACAAGGAAAGCAAAGAAAGTCCACAGTTGGAATCTTACGGATGGAAGGCTTGGTGGCATCATTGCCATCCACGGGCACCAGGCATTAGCATCACAGCCCAGTGAAAGGGGACATTTAACTCCCCGACCCAACGTCATCCCAAAGAATCACATCGTCGTGATTCTTTTCTGACCCCAGGGCAAACACACTGGCCTAAAATCTGCACTGTGGGCATCAGGGAGACATGAAAGTGGAGATAGAAATAGGTTCTAAAATCCCATGTGAAGTTCATAAACCACAAAACAAGTAGTTCACTATATCCCCAAATTCCTACCCTGTTTTGAAGTCAGATAACATATAAGAATTCTTCTTATTCTTACTCTCATGTTCCGCTACACTTCTCTTTCTCTCTGTTTTGTTTGCTTTTTGTTTTGGAGGTCCTCATTATTTCTTATTTCCAGCTGCTGAGATGACTAGTTGAGATTCTAGAAAGTTGAATGCAGAAGTGCTTTCTCCAGACATAGGCCCAAATATCAAAGGGACTATCCTACCTCTTCCACTGGACAGTCACCCCCTCCCCCTCCACAAGGCGAGAAGGGATATGGCCAGAAGATCACTGGAATTCTCATCTGGAGGGTGAAACCAGTTACCTGGCCATTTTCAGATATCCTCTCTGCCAAGTGCAGGAGATGGGCCACTCTTTGAAATCGGTGCTGAGGCTACTTCCTTTTTCCTGCCTCAAGGTCAGAATTCTATCTCCAGGAAAGCACAACTTGGAATTCTTAAAAACTTTCTGAATATTTTTATGTCAGCCTTAAGAAGGGGAATGTAAGAAGCACATTCTGGACTTGGCCTGAGAGCTCAGGAGCTGGGTGCGATACTGGATGTGGAACCCTGAACATTCTAGAACACACAAGGGTGCATGGAGCACGGCCCAGGTGCTCTTTGCTGCAGGAGACGCACTTCTCCCAGAGTTCACCTCAGCAGAGGGGTGGAGAATGTTCACTCCCAGGTTCAATGCCCTTTCTTCCCAGAAGCCTTCCCACCTCTAACAGTCTTGGCCTGCCCGCTCGCTCCCTTGCCATAGAGCATGGCCCGCACCCTGACTGTGGCTGGTCTTAGTGTTTGTCTCCCCCACCACTCAGGAAAGTCTATGAGGACCGCTTCAGTCTCACTGACCATGGATTCAACCATCTTCTTGTCCCAAGGAGGGAACTAGTCCTCACAAATCATCTACTGAATCAAAGATCAGACTGTCTATTTCCCGGGTATATTAAGAAGTAGCTCTCTCTGGTTGTATCCCCCACATACATCATTTCAGAGTTCAACAACATGTTTTTAAATCTCCTAAAAGGAAAAATGAATGATAGGATCTCCTACCCCTAAATGCTATCAAATTCTCATTTTTGAAGTCGGTTGTGTCTTTTTAAAATGTGGCTTCCCTGTATACTTGCTATCCATGTGCCCAGGAGCTATTTATGGTAGATGTTCTCAGGATAACATAGATACTACCTGTATCTTAATAGGGCATGTGCAAACACGCCCATGCACACACACACACACACACACACACACCAAACATCCAGAACACACAGCCATACTCTGTGAGCACTGAGTGACCTGCCTCGGGGACCAGCTCCAAAGATAATGACCAGACAGTGAGCTCTGGCTCTGAGGGCCCACCTGCTTCCTGGCTGCTTCTGTGCCAAACGATGCACACAAGGTCGTAACAGTGGTTCAGGTTTCTTAACCATTTAAATGGAAATGTCCCTTTAAATAAGGCCCTTTCCTGCAGAGGATAATGTCATAATGTCAAGTCTGAAAAATATCCCTGGGTGAGTGGCTGTCCCCATTTAGCAGTTCCCCCAAAGGACTGTCTCGAGGACACTCCACTCACACCGCAACCGTCAGCCCCCAGCACCTGCCAGAACGCCTCTTTCCGAGGGAGCCTACCCACCCAGGCTATTCTTGATGTCTCCTAATCAAAAGTAAAAAGCAGGTTCACAAAGTCAGCCACTGGATGAGGCAAACTTAAACGGTCTTCACCGCTAAAGCCCCAGAGACAGGCTAATCGTGGCAATGACGGAAGAGGGATTAAAAATAGTTCCTCCATTGTACTTTCAAAATAGCAAACGATATTCTTCTAATGTCCCAAAACAGCTCTCGAAAGGAATTAAACAGCTTTTTCCAACTGGGAAAAGTTACAAAACAAAATATAAAATAAATATAAATTAAAAAAACAACAACAACAAAACCACAACAACCTTTAAAAGCATTAGCGCCACAAACTCAGGATTACAAGAGAGTTGGTCAACATTCCGGGTCATCTAGGATTTTGCCAAGAATGCATCAGGCCTCAGTGAAAAGGATTAGTTAGGCTAGGCACATTTTTCTTTTCTTTTCTTTTTTAAGATTTTATTTTTAAGGGACGCCTGGGTGGCTCAGTGGGTTAAAGCCTCTGCCTTCGGCTCAGGTCATGATCCCAGCGTCCTGGGATTGAGTCCCACATCGGGCTCCTTGCTCAGCAGGGAGCCTGCTTCACCCTCTGCCTCTGCCTGCCACTCTGTCTGCCTGTGCTCACTCTCTCTGACAAATACATAAATAAAATCTTAAAAAAAAAATTAAAAAAAAAAGATTTTATTTTTAAGTTATCTCTACACCCAACGTGGGGCTCGAACTCACAACCCCGAGATCAAGAGTTGCATACTCTACCAACTGAGCCAGCCAGGTGCCCCTGGGCATGTTTTTTCTTAATGCACTTTGCCTTGCAAGGTATAGAAACAGCTTCTATAATGATTTTTAACCAAGGAGCAGAAAGAAAACGAACTTATGTTTCCCCCAGCCTAGAGGTCACACCACTGATATAAAAATAACTAAAGTATCTGAAATTTGGGGAGAAGACCCCTGCACTGGCAGAACCAGAGAGTATAATGTTTTTTCTTTCTTTTTTTTTTTTTTTTTAAATCTCATGCAGCGTATTACGACATCATTTTGGCCATGGAAAGGAGAGTACTGGAATTTTCTTCCCTCACATCAAGCTGTATCATCCTGTTTAGGATGGACAGGGCGCAGACTACCGAAGGAATAATGCATGGGTTTGTGTGCTTCACGGGAAGGAGGGGTTGCTATGCCCAGGAGGGGTAGCACTTGCTCCCTTAGAGAAAACCAGTTCTTCTCATAAACCCTCTTGGATACGGACTTGTCCCAAATTGCCTTCGTGAGGAAAGTGACGGGGCTAAATCCAGTATCTCTCTGTATCTGATAAGCAATCTGTCCCAATACCAATTGCACAGTCTGAGGATGCAAGGGAGCTTAGAATTCCTGGAAATTGGGCAGAGTTATTGAAAGTGGTCACTTTCTGGCTGCTGAGGTCAATCTCGGGGTCCGCCGACAGGACGCTTACCGCTCAGTATCTGCTGCTAAGCCTAATGCACTGACTTCCTTAAGGGAGATTCTGAGGGAGCCCTGGAGTTTTCTGTGCACGCAGGTGGGATGAGGACACATTTGCCACCACAAAACACCAGTGGGCAAAGGGGCATTTTGCATTTAGATGAAGCGTTGGCGTTTGTCTAAAACAGGCAAACACAGGGTTTATAACTTTAACGGCAGGCCTGGAAGGTTTGTTAAAACACAGATCGCTGGGCTCCCATTTTGAGTGTCTGATTCGGTAGGTCTGGGTTGGACCTTGAGAATTGGCATTTCTGGTACGTTCCTAAGTGCTGCTGCTCGGGGGACTGCATTTTGATGACCTCTGATAGACGGGATGCTTTGAGAGAGCTGGGCCTTTTCTTCTTAAACATATTTCCACGCTGAAGGTGCTGGAGCCTTTCCACATAACCCCTGATTTTTACTAACATGCTTAGGTCTGGAAAAATTGACTTAGAAATTGGTCTCCTACAGAAAAAACCGAAAACCAAAAACGAATTCAAAGCAATGGCAAGTTGCAAAATGGGGAGTGGCAAACATATTAATGAATCCAATTATATTCAAAAGGTTGGTGTATATGAAATTTTCTCCCCTACAACCCAGGAAAATAACTGCACTTTATTAATACAGAATAATCACATATTTACCTGCGCATGAGACTATCAACTCACTTTTTAATATAAAGAACATAATTATCACTGAAAAACAAAAATGTAGCAACAACATTATTTTTTAAGCATGGGTAATTTTCCTCTGGAAACTTGATATATATATAGATAGATAGATAGATAAATAGATAGGTATAAAACAGCAATTTTAAATTACCCCCTTATACATTTAAACTGAACCCAATGCATTTCCCCCCATTTTGGAAACTGGAGGAGGTCTCTAAAGGAATTCCCACTGAAGTGTATTTTCACAATGTGCTATTAAAACAGTGCAGTTGTTTCCCATTATCCATAGTAAACGTTTAAAAATAAGCTAAACAATCCTAAAGTAAATTAAATTGCTTACCTTTGAGCCTCGCTCATTAAAAATAATTTCAACATCTAAGATTTTACCAAATTGCTGCAAAGAAATAGAAATGTTTTATAAGCAAGAGAAATGGAGGACATCAGATTATGCACATTGGTAACTGAACCCCAAGTCCGAGTTTGTTTCTTTGTTTTCTCTTTCAGTATCGGGGTGGAAATTTATGTTGTTTCCTTAGTGATGGACTTGAACCAAGAGAAAGCACACGCATACATATGATTTTTATTTTATTGGATACCCCACCAAGTGAGAGGTCATAGTATGGGCCCGTGCAAAATGTGTATCAGGTGGTTAGTTCTCTTTTTCTTTCTTTCTCTCTCTTTTTTCTTTTAAGATTTTATTTATTTATTTGACACACAGAGAGAGATCACAAGTAGGCAGAGAGGCAGGCAGAGAGAGAGGGGGAAGCAGGCTCCCTGCTGAGCAGAGAGCCCGATGCGGGGCTCGATCCCAGGACCCTGAGATCATGACTTGAGCCAAAGGCAGAGGCTTAACCCACTGAGCCACCCAGGTGCCCTTCTCTTTTTCTTTCTTCTGGTGTGGACAGTTGCTTTCCCAGGCACTGAGCAGCAAAGATGAAAACTGGCTGGTGTATAAACTGATTCTCAGAGCCTACTCCGCTAGCCACTGGCAGAAACAGCCTTGATGATGGATTTTAAGTGGTAAAATGTCCACATGGCGTCTGATGGGGAGGATGGTGGCCTGTGGCCCCCGTGTAAGCTACAGGAAGAGCCAGGCCATGTAAAGGAAATCAAGTATGAACAGATGAAAGCAAGATCCACCATGTGGACATCCATCCTAATCAAGACACCAGCATAGTTGTGATTAGCCCTGAGGCTGAAATGTACTTCTCTCAAGATGATTCTCCATTTTGTTAAACAAACAGATAGATTTTAGACAATTAGCAGGAAGAGGCTCTACAAGAAGTGAAAGCCACTCGACATATTTGAGCCTGGAAACATGGTTTCAGATTACAAACGGGGCAGCCAGATGAATTACAGATGCCTAGTTAAATTTAAATTTCAAATCTTTCAGGATAATTACATCCCCTGCAATATTTAAGACAATCTTATACTTAATAAAAATGTTATCTAAAATTCTAATTCAGCTATTGTCATCTTGTATTTTTTTTTTATTTGCTCAATCTTGTAGTCCTAGTGAGAAATGGCACATCAAGTAATTTGTGATCCACACTTTAAAAGTAAGGGAACATGGACCCTTGAAACCAGAAGCATCTGATAGCCCAAGGTCCTTTGCCCCTGACATTGGAGTCCTTTCCTTTTTCACAGATTGCATGAAATACCATGGGTGGGTGTCCTAACATTGTGTGATGTGGCCCAGGAAAACTACGAGGGGAATTTTACCCTGATGCACAATGAGGGCAAGTGCTCATTTCAGTGATTAAAAAGTAAACAGAATCACATGAAGGAATATGTCCATTCTCCTTTTCCTTTATTTTGAGCTTTTGTATTATTCTATTTGTTTCTGCAGCCTAGATTTTTTTTTTTTTTTAAATCTTTTATTGCCTGAGGAGAGTCTGTGTTCTGTCTCTCTCCCCCAGATGGAAAGCAGTAAGCAGCCTCCATGCAGCAGAGGCCAGAGTGGTTGGGAGGGACAGAAAAGGAACAAATGGTTAGAACACAGAGAACCAGAGGCAGCCCCCCCTGACCACTGAGCTTCAGTCACAGGATATGGGGTAGGGAGGACCCTTAGAGTAAGTGCTAAGAGGGTCCTACTAAGATTTGAGAAAAAAAAAATTTGAAACAGAGAGAAGCTGTTCTCTGGAATAAAACTAGCTTTCTTGGAAAGACAGGGGGAGAAAAAATGAGGCACACTCCAGTTGAAGAAAAATAGCTCAAAACCTTGAAACAAAAGTCGTTCTGACCTAGGAGAAAAAAGAAACCCAAAGCTAAGTCATGGAAATGTGCCCATCCTTCAGAATATGGACGCGGTCAGGGGACTGCGGATTGAATCGGTCTTGTCGAGCGGATGGACGTGCTTTTCATCTTCCCAGAGACAGAGAAGGGCAGGAAGAAAGGAAGCAGCCCAGCCCCGAGAGGACAGGGGAGGGCTCCACTGCCAGCAGGTACGACGCAAACACCAAGAAACTTGCAGCCAACTCACCCTGTCATTTGTGGACCCTCTAATGTCCTTTGGGTCAAGAGAATATTCTTCTACAGAGCATTTTCAGTGCTCTAGATTTGGGCAGAGAAAGTCATTAAAAATAGAAGAAAACTTTCAGATTTGGGAAATGGGGGATTTGCCGTTGAAAGGTGAACGGAATTTCATAGTAAAAATTCCAACATGTGAAGTCCTCAGAAGCAGTGATTTCGATAGAACCTCCTTACAATATTCAGTCCACGTCGATGTTATCACATTTATTTTGGGCCTAAGAGCGTGAAAGCACACATGTTTATGAACAGGGAAGCTTGAGGAGGACCCGCCCAAACCGCAAAGCCAATGTCACCTCTGGAACATTCTCTAAGCAGGCAACGTGACAACACTCCCTTTGAAACAAGATCTGGTTGAGACAGAACCAACCCGTCAAGAAGTAATCCTAGCATGTGTCATTCCCTAAATGAAACAATGACACCATATGCCCCGAAATGGTCTCTAATGTTTGCCTCTTGGCAGTTGCCACTGGGCAGATGATTCTCAGAGCCTGGAAAACGAGCAGCGAGAAGAACGCAGATATGGGCTCCACTCCTAAGACAGTTGTGTACTATATTTATAGTATCAACAGTTTAATTGGGAAGTTTGGGACTAATGATGTAAACACAGCTGGCACATGTTCCGTCTAAACAGACATGACTCGCAGACTTAACTCGCATTACTTTGCTCAACGCCCGTGTGCAGCCGCGTTCGACAATGTCCCAGAACGTACACAAGGTGTCTCGGTGGTGGTTTCAAGAATAAAATCCGGAGGCTTCTAGGCACGCGCAGGGGCAAATACAAACCAGGCATTTTGAGACATTCTCAGATCAAATAATGTTTCTCTGAAAAACTGTGGAAGATGTTCAGCGGATACAGCATAAAATGTGAAAGTAAAGGTTAGTTCAAAGAGCGCACACAGAGGCGAAGAAAAGGTATCATCTCAGTTTTCGTAGGGTTGGCTTCCTGTTTGGAATGCAGAGATGGGAGGCACCACGCCAGGTCCAAAAAAAAAAAAAAAAAAAAAAAAAAAAGGAATGCTTCACTTGGTATAACAGCACAGTGCATAGAATTTGGCATTAACGCCAAAGATGCAGGCGTCTCTATGTTATTCCTAAAAAGGTGATCATGAAAGCTTCTTTTGTGTGTTCTGGAGGTCATGTGGTCTGTTTTGGGGTGACAGTAATGAGTGACTTCTGTAGATCTTATTCATGTCCAGAGGGTCTGTATCAAAAGCAAGGCTGTGACATCAACAAGGGTGTTGTGCAAATTTTAATCTTATGCTCCATGAGCCATTACTTCTGAAAAACAGTACTGTAATGCAATGTGTCATGTCAGTGGTCTGGATATAGCATATGCACCCCTCTCACCCCAAGCCCAGATACGTGTAAATTTTAAACGTTAGGTTAAAGAACCATTCTGTCCAAGAGCAAGCCATTATATTCAATCTGGTGGACATCCACCCACATTCCTTTCATGGGATCACTAAGACTTTAAACATAAAGGACACCCACCCTCGTGAATGCTCCCTGACATGAGGACAGAGCTCAAAAAGGAAGTCGTCAGGCCAGAACCAACATTTCTTTCAGGGAAACATCCAGAACCAATGCCCTTGATCTGTTCACTCACGCCCCAACTGAGGTTGTAAGAAGACTCTGGCACCACTGTGTGCACATAACTTCTTGACCAAAGAATGTTCCATCTTGACAGGAAGGAAGGAAGGAAGGAAGGAAAGAAAATCTATGCATAGTTAGAAAATTTAATGCCAAACACTAGAACAAATGCTTCCAAGGGAGGAGGAAGCAAAAAATGTCAAGCACTGAAGAACATGGTGGGAGAAGGGTAACCAGAATCCCAGTGAACGGGTCCTGAAGCCATGAATGAAAAACAAACTGTGAGGCACCTGCGGTGACCATTAGGCCTGCAGAAATTGCAAACTTCACAGCTGAATTATTAATAGTTCCAAAAGTTGTCAGGAACACGGCTAGGTTTTAGGCAGTTGGAGAAAGAAGCTTCCTTTTTTGTCTTGTTTTGGTTTGGGTTTCAAATCCCCATGGCCGCCTTTAACAAAAGAGACAAAGGAGAAAAACACAAAAATCTTCGAGAGGGTGTTTCTCTGTAATCACCTCCCCTCCCCCGCTTCTAGCCCCAGCCAAAGTGAAGAGGCAATAGCAAAATAAGGCAATAAGAAGAGAGAAGAGATCTCATGTCCAAATGACTTGGAAAAGACCTAATTGGAATCAAAATGTCATTTCTTACAGTAAGTAAGACCTACAAGAAGAAACCACACTTAGTTTTCTCAACCGGAGTGTGGGGAGCCAACCCAAATGTTTACAGATGCCTTTCAATGCGACTCATGCCACTAAAAGTATCAGATAACCACAGTGGGATTGCCACCACCAATGTTTGGCTGGGAAGAACAGATTTTTAGTATTTAAATTCCGTTTCTTCAGAACAGTGGTCATAAACCAAGGAGGCCTCAGCATTATTACAAAGAATTCAGGAATCTATATGTGCCCCAAATTTTTAGAGCTGAAACTCATTAAAAAAAAAAAAAAACACTTGCATACTTTTAAAAAGAACACAGATGCTGTTTGTGATGAACAAAATTAATTTCAATATTACTGAATGTATGCCACGTTTTCTTAATTGATACTAAGCGTATCTATCATCTTGTCAAGTCAACGTCTTGTCAGTTGCTTAGGAATATTGACTTTTAAAAAAACTGGCTCTGAAACCAGTGGATTTTGATTATAGTTCGATAACTGGGTCATATGTTCAGTCTTTGGCAAGACCTCGCTCTGCATCACTTGCCTTTGCCCTATAAGAACAGAGGGGCTCAGATATCCGTGCAAGCAGGATGCTGTCTTTGGGAGTTCCAGCTGCGGATTATTTCCAATACCTCTGACTTGGCTGTGTAGCCCTCCGGTGACTTTCAAGATAACCGAGAAGACCAGGGAGGGGAGAGCGCCATCGGGGTTGGGAGCTGGTGTGGGCTGCCGTGAGTGACACCATAAAAGAGCACCGAGGTGATCATTAAGAGGGCCAGATTCAAAGCCAACCTCCCAATGACACCTGACGAGGAAAGATAGACCACAGAGCAAGACTTTCTAACCTGACGTGGCAAAAGGAATCTAATTCCTCTGGCTGCCCATCATTCAAACCTGGTCTCACTGCTTTATACACACTTAACCTCCACTTCCACTTTGAATGCTTTGCACTTTTCAAAGTCATCTTTGACCTGAGAGTGCCCGAGGGTATCTCTACTCTGCAAGAAGTTAGAGGGCTCAACTCAAGGTTATTACCAAACGAGAGAGATAAAAGTGCAGAAGCTGACCTTTTCCTCTGAAATGTCAGGATTCGAGTCTGGGTATCTGAATATTAGGACGCTGGCTCTGCCTTTGTGTCAGATGTGGATCTGATAAACACCATGCATGATAAAGAAAGAGAAGGTACACGCGAGCTAACCCCACGACCACAGTGTCATGAACCAGAGCTCCCCCACACATCGGGGGAATGAGGTCTCCTTGGCCCAGGGTTCGGCATAAAAGTTTGGCCTCTTCTTATTGCTTCTGTAACATTTGCATCCAACCACCAACTCTTAGAACAATCTCCAGGCGGCCAACCTTTCCTCTAAGTCAAATGCTAAGGATGTAGCTCTGTTCACGGAATCCACAGACACCTCCCGTCAATGCTGGGATGGTTGTCATGGGCAAATCGGCTGACTACGTTTGCAAAAAAAACTAAAAGAAACAAAAACAAAACAAAACAAAAAAAACTACTAAGGGTATCTAAGCCCTGTCAGAATTTTGTCCTTCAGAGCCCAGGACGTGGCTAACTCATTCCTTCTGAAGGTGGACAGTGCGAGGTTTCCTCCAGAAAAAGAATCCGAGTCATCATACCCCACGAGGAAGCAACCTTATCATCTATTTCCTCTGCATTGACGGTGTCTTCTGCCCTGCTCTGTGTTTCAATCATGGTAGCTGGGCAAGGCTGTCATCAGTGGCAGAGAACATCATAGGAAGAACCTCTGAATCCCCATCACTGACTGCGGGAGAGTGTATACGGCAGGGCGCAAGTCAGACTTAAGAAATCTTTAGCCTTCTCTGCTCTGCTTTTTGATGAAGCTTTATGCAGAAGTCATTATTCGCTAAAGCTGCCTGAAATCCAAGTGCACAGTGCCTGGGAAAGAGTGAGGTGTGCAGGGGCATATCATGATAACTTTGGCAGCTACGAAAGAGAGAAGAACCCAAAGGACACAAAATGTTTATTTCGGCCGTGACACGGGGTCCCGGGCCACTTGATCTGGGATCATCAGTGGGCTTCTTTCAGTGCTACTTTATCTGGGAACTCGTCCGCCATGTGATTTTCCAGTTACTAATGAGAAGAAGACCATTTGGCAAAGCGGGGCCATGGTGAACCGATACAAAGATATTTAGACTAAAATCACAAGGAGACTCTGGCCACAATATACCCACAGACTAGGATCTAAAATGTCTTTCTCTTCCCCCTATGTAAACATCTCACCTTCATGTTATAAATACCAAGAACTTATACGAGGAGGGAAGGGCTCTGGGGACCCCAGCGCAGACACCGCACAGGGGAAACGCACTACTTACGCCAAACATTTGTCGGAGGTCCGGATCCCGGAACCTGAAGGGGATGTTGGAGACGTGCAGCCGCTTGGGCTGGGACTTGTTTTCTGTGTTTTCGGAAGGTTGTGTCTGGGGCTGGCCATCCGTTGGTGCCGCATCATCTGTCTGCTAAAAGGACAAGAGTAAAGAGGCTCTGAGTGGACCTGTGCGCTCTTTCCAAAGTGCTTTAGCTTCCCCGAAATGGTAGGAAAATGCTGGAACAAAGGAGCAAGGACAAGTAAGGAGCTGCTGGGTCATCCATCCATCCATTCAACAAGTATCTATTGAACATTCCCGAGAGCCCAAGGTAGATCGGGATTCAGCAGTGAGAAAGCAGACAAGCTCTGCCTCCATGGAGTGTAATTCTTACAGGGGGTGTGTGGGGAGGAGTGAGTAAGCTCATTAATAAATAAATACGGAACTGGTAGAAGGAGAGCATCATGGAGGAAAATAAAACAAGGGGAGGGGTAGTTATTGTGGAGGTGTTGGGGAGTTTTAGCAGGCAATCAGAGAAAACCTCATCATTAAGGGTAGGAGAGAGTGTATCCCTTAACCAAAGGGGTCCAAAATCTTAAGATATGCCTGCATAATTACTGCAGCTATCCAGATAAAACATTAGCAAATGTAGTAAAATATTTGAGAAGGCTGTCTGGTGTTCTGCAGTCCAAGTAACCATCCAACTGACTTAATTTTATTTTTTAAGGTTTTACTTTCTTGTTTCTTGGTTGGGCAGGCCTGTGATGTCCATTATAGCTGACCCCGTGTGGCTATTTAAATTTGAATGAATTAAAATTAAGTAAAATGTAAAATCCAGTTTTTTCCTTCACACTAGCCACATTTCAAGTAGTCCATGGCCGCCGATGGCTAGTGGTTTCCATGTCGGACCACGTGGATCTAGAACATCTCCAGAACGTTCTACGGACTATATTGGTGTCGATAAAGTTATGCTGTTGGCATAACTCATTACTCTGCTTCCCACTCTTGCCAAAACAAAAGCCCGGACAACACGATATTGTTTCAGCACATGTACAGGCAGGAGAGTCACATTAACGCTTGGTATCATTACAGCCATTCCCATACTCTTGGTTCTAGAGATGCTTCTGGATACTTTCTCTGCAATTAGCATCTATCGCCTCTGGGTGGCAGTTGATGCCACCCACATCAGTTACTTTCTTCTCCAAAACCATAATGGAAAACCTGTGTGGAAACCCATCAAATCTATGAGGGAAGAATCAGCCTCACCTAACTTTTAAATGATTTAGAAGCCTGTAACTGGGACAAAACTATCCATGCAATCGGGCAGGTATAAGATAATAAAGACATAGAGGAGACAAGTGAAAAAAAAATATATACATGACATGTTTTTCATATATAAAAATGTTTTATATATGCATATAAATACTTTATATAAATACGGTATATGATACATATACCACAATAACATGGCCATAATTAGTGACTTTCTCCCCAGTCCTTGTGTTTATTGACAGATTTCTTCTGCATTCGCCTTCCTAATACCCCCTGAATAGCATTTTGAAGTCAAGATCTCCCAGAAGTTGGCAGACTACTCTTCCAAGCTGGTTTCGTATCAAAACCCCTTTCTGAGGACCTCTGCAAGTTTGAGGTGCTACGTCATGGTAACACCAACGCTGCTCTTGGTTGTTTCGTCTGTGCTACTGGAGTGGAATAAGGAGGAGGAATGGTGACGGTCTTCTAATCTGGAAAATGAGTAATAATAATAATAATGCACCCCTTCCAAGGCTCTGTGAAGACTGAATGCAGTAATACAGGCCAACCTGGCAGAGTTCTTGGGACATGAACTCAATAAATGGAAGGCAGGGAGTTTTTTAGAGTGATGGTGACTTTTCCTTAAAATGTCAAAAACAAGGAGAGAGAAAGCCTCTCTCAGGAAACAGACAAAGGAAAGGTTCCCATTTGCTTGTTAGGCACATTTTTACTGAGCAACTGCTATATATTGGACATACAGGTTAGTCCTCCCAGCACACGCTGGTCCTAGTTCAGTTCAAGAGAAAGAAGAAGGAAAGAGCTAGTGGTGAGGCTGGGGTCAGAGTCGGTCACAGAGGGCTGAGTAAACTGAAATCAGGGACATGCCACACAGCTGGACGTTCTGGGAGCCCTGCCAGTTCTGGAGGTCAGGTTTTCGGTGGGGGGTGTCTAACAGAAGAGACCAAGGGGGCTGATGCTGTACCAGCAGAGGGCAAGGCACAGGCAAAGATGCAGAGGTGATATCGGGTTCTGGATTCAGGGGAGTACATGGGCCCCTTAGTGTCAAAGTCAGCGGGCAGGAAGGACAGATGATAAAAATTAAGAGGAGGCACTTACAGATCATCTTGGGGTGTGGTGGGACTGGCGCCCGGCATCGGGGCTGAGCCACGGCCACCAAATGGGAAATGCAGGCCGAATTACGAAGTGTATCCATCAAGTCATGAATGAAGGATGAATGAATGGTCCACTTTGCATTTTCAGGTAATAGTCGAATACAATATTGTAACACCCAGGCCCAAACCAAGCAGGGAACTGTGTTTTCTCTGCTGGTAACATGACCCTTGGTTACACAACCAAGATGTCCTTGAACCATGCCTTTGGGGTCATGTCCTCTGACCTAAGACCCTAAACTTGCAGAGACAGCAGCTGAGTGAGATCCCAGCTTAAAGTCCGTTTCTTCCCTCCGATTAGAAGTTGCTGTTCAAATGCAAATTAAAACAAGCTCCTTCTCATCCCAAGAAAGAAACTTAGATTTGGATTTGTACATAACTGCTGGATGTTTCAGCTTAATAAACCTAATTAGGAATTACAGAGATTATGATTCAACATATTAAATGATTAATAGCATTATGCTGCTCATGTGAAAATTAAAATTAATCATCTTTAGTCAAACAGGACTTTGGAGAAATCTCTGCGTTGTTTCCTTTGATAAAAACATACAACGCTCAATTAATCATTTTGTAGTGCGGGCATGTGTACAAAAGCTCATAAATTGTTATGTCGGAATACCTGTGTATTAAAACTAATTTTTAAAGATAACACGTAAAATGGAAAACAAACCGAAAGCGTTTCCGACGTCGTGGGTAAATGGAGAGGAGAGGGCAGGGGAGCACGTTAGGGTCCAGAGGCTGACTCCGGAGCCTGGGGCACAGCAGGGGTGAGGACCAGAAGGGTCCTCACTGACTCTGCTATCAGGGTGAGAGCGTTCCCCTTCTCTTTTTCTGGGAACTGTCAGGGAAAATATATTCAGGACAAGCCTGAGTTTTAGGTCCCTGTATTCGTCTGCTAAGAAATGACCACAAACACGGTGGCTAAAAGCAATGGAAATGGACTCCTTCACGGTTGTAGAGACTGGAAGGCTACAGTGAAGGCGCTGTCAGGACCACGCTCCTTCTGAAGGTTCTAGGGGAGAGCCCACATTTGCCTCTTTGAGCTTCTGGTGACCTCTTGGCTTAAAGCTACACTCCCCCAATCTCTCCACGTTCTCCACGTGTCTCCATGTTCATATGGCTTTCTTCTCTCTGTGTGTCTGGGACTCATATCTCCCTCTGCCTTTCTCTTCTTATAAGGATTTAAAGCTCACCCTGGATCTTGTCTTGGGATGCTTGATTACATCCACAAGGACCCTCTGTCCAAATAAGGTCATAGTCATGGGTTTATGGAGAATGGGATGTGAACATATGTTTTGAAGGCCACATTCAACACACTATAATCTTCTTCTAAACAAGCAAACCGGAAGTGCATGTAGAAGTAGCTGTTATCAGGAAGTGGATGCATCTTCTACCACCGAGGGAAAGGGCTGGTCTCACACCCGCTCTAGAAGAAGAGAGAATGTCCCTGTCGGAGCTGTCCCAGGCTCCCATCTGTCACGCTGGGAACTTTGATGAGTTGTCTAAAGAGAGATTTGAGTCTTCCCTTCACCCTGGCCCAGGCTCTCGGGCTGCCTTTGAGCAACTCCCCCTGGATGTGATGACCCCCTTCAGCTGGGCCGAGAGGTGCTCCACTGGCCTCCTGAAAGGGATCCAACACCCTAAAAACAAGGTTAGTTCTGCAGGTTCCCTGAGCCTAGCCCTGTAGCTCACACAGATGGACAAGCAGTCACAGCATCCCTGAGAAGGTCGGTGAAGCTTATGGCTAAGGCACAGCGTGAAATTTCTAAAGACAAAAATAAAATCATGTGAAAAAGCTGAGAAAGTTGCTAAGAGAATTGTACATCTAGAAGGCATATCCCCGAAAAGCAGGGGCTACCTGGTTGGTAGTTACATCCCTCAAGGCTGGTACGTGTTAAGGCTTATTTGGAATTAACGGCTGGTAGAAGAACCTTGATTTATCTGTGTCTGATTCTTTTAAAGTATCATATTTGGCTCTAAAAGCGGGACCCAGCTGAATTGGAAAGATGCCTCATAACCATGTTTGGGAGATCAGAAGGTAGCACATAAAGACCAAGCAAATTGCTCCTGGTCTTCTCACTCAGGGATGAGAGGAGATTGAGAAAAAAAGGTGTTAGAGGTGGAAGTAGAATGGCCAGCTTCCCTCTCAGAACCCTCCAGACCAGACCCCCATCCTGGGCTGCAAGGTTCACTACACGCTCTGGCCCGGACCCCCTTGCTTCCTGAGGTTCCTGCTCCTTACTCAAAAGCCACCTGGCTCCTTCCATGCACACAGCACGCTCCCTCCTCGGGCTTCATGCCTGTTCTTCCTTTGCCTGGAAAATTCTCTCCCCAGACGCCCATATGGCTTGCCCCCTTCTTCCCAGCTCTCTGCCCAGACAGCACCCACTGGAGAAGCCCTCACTGGCCCCGTTATCTAAAGCTTCTGCATCTCCTGTCTCCTAGCTCGTTCACTTTTTTCATAGCACCTATCCCTTCTTGCCTTTGTATTAGATGCTTCTGTTAGTTTCTATGGTGTTTCTTTGTCTCCTCCGCCAGAATGTGAAATCCATGAGGACAGAGACTGGGTGAGTTTCCATCCACACTGTTCTGTCCCTATCCCCAGAGCCGAAATGTGGACATTGGGGCTGGTTAAGTCCTCGATGTGGGACTGTCCCGTCCTCTGTAAGATGTTTGGCAACACCCCTGGCCTCCACCTGCTGTATGGCAGTGGGACAACCCAAACTGTCTTCT